AGGAGGAGGAGGAGGAGGAGGAGACAACGGAGAGGAGCAGTCAAGGACAGCAGCAGGAAGAGGGGGAGTAGAAAGAGGGGAGCGCACCCCAGCAAGATCAGCAACCGAAAGGGAAGCAGGGGCCAAACAAACCTCCATAGCAGGAACAGGGGGCGCAAGCACTGAAACGGGAGGGGAAGGAGCAACAGAGCCAGAAGGAGGAGCTGAGGAAGAAAGCGAAGCCTTCTTACCCGCCGGGGAAGAGGAAGGAGAGGAGCCAGGCTTACGCTTCTGACTTAAAGAGACCGGTGTCCCAGCAACTACGTACCGGGCAACGGATTCCAGTGTCTCAACAGGAGAAGCCGAACGAGAGCACACACGACGGCCGTTAGGAGAGCGATGGACATCCGCCTGCACCGACAGGCGGCGGGGAGAGCCGATAGATGGAGGAAGAGGATGGGAAGGAGGATCAGAGGGGGACGAGGAAGAAGACACAGGAGACATGACAGACCGGGTAGAAAGAAGGGGAACCCCAGACAGAGGACCAGGAGGGGGACCCCTCGGGACAGAACACAAAGGGACAGAGGAGGGGGCAGTGGGCGTATCAGGGTCCAAGGCCCGGAAACGGTTGAGAGTCTGAGGAAGGGGGGAAGGACGAGGAGAGGAAGAGCGCAACACGCGAGCATAAGAGATGTTAGTATAAGGCGGGAGCCGGCGAACCTGGCGCCTTGCCTCAGGAAAAGATAAACGCTCCCGGTGCTTCAGGTTGAGGACGGCTGCCTCAAGCTTGTAATGGACACAGGCACGGGAGAAGGTAGGATGGGCCTCACCGCAGTTGAGGCAGCGAGCTTGGGGAGAAGTGCACTCCGACTTAGAGTGACCTTCACCCCACACAAAGGACAGAGAGAGACAGTCCCAGAGCAGCGGAGGGCACCATGCCCAAACCTCCAGCACTTGTTACAAAGTCGAGGAGAAGGAATATACTCCTGGACAGAGCACCTAGCACCAGCAAGAATGACAGAGGATGGAAGGGTCCTACCATCAAAGGTGATCTTCACAACGCGAAGGGGTTGACGGCGACGACCACGAGGGGGACGAGTAAACGAGTCAACCTGGAGGACAGAATGGCCTTGGGCATCAAGGATATGCCGAATATCATCGTGGCAATCCTGCAGATTCCGAACACCGGTTGCAACATGGGGTGGGAGGAGAATAGTGCCAACACTGGCATTCATCTGAACGTTCTTGGAGACCCGAACAGGGATCTCGCCAAGGCAAGATAAGGCAGCCAAGCGGGAAGCTGCATCCTGAGAAGGAGCAGCAACGACACGTGTACCGAGACGAGTGGGGTTGAAAGTAACAGACGCATCCACGGAATCTACAAGATGCCGATGGAGGGAGAAATCGTCAGGAGGCGCAGAATCAAGAGGGAGGAGATCAAAGTATTTGGCCCATGAAGCAGGACCAAACAAGGCCTGATACGCATCAGCACGGGAAGGAATCGAGCGAGTGCGGCTGGGGCGCGAACGGCGTTGAGAACCCCTAGAGAGAGAGGGGTCAAAAGGCGCAGTAGTCACAACGAGAGACTTGGCCGCACCAGGGGACGAAGTGGTCACCACCGGGGGCTGGAGGCTCGACCCAACCACAGAGGAGGGAGGGGAGCTGGGGGGGAAGAAGTCAGGACGGGCAAAGGAGGAGCAAGGTCCGGGCCCAACGCAGCGGGAGCTACAGAGCCTGGTCTTCCAATACAGGCCGACTCGGGGGCTTGGTCGACCACCCCACGAGCCTGAGAGGGTACAACGGAAACATTCATCGACAGAGACGAAGAGAAAGAAATTCATCCAGGAATGTGCCCCCATACCCTCCATGGAGCCACAATTAGAGGCAGGACACCCAACAGGAAGCTATCGGCGATCATGCCGGGGCCCCCTAGGGGTGCGTCGTGAGTATACGCCCCACAACCACCACCTTAAGAACCGTCAGTCCATCGAGATCGGGTTCAGCGACGAAAGGGGGGGGATTGACAATAAAAGGTTCCCCTCGCTCGAGACGTTGGGTACTACAGTTCTATGGGTGCAAGAGTATGCCTCCTCAAGCACCCGGGCGTCAAAATAGAAGTCCAAAGAAATAATCCAAAACAAGCAAAAGGTCGGCAGGAAACGACAAGCAGATAGGAGAAAGGGGGAGAAAAACGAAACATAAGGAAAAGCAATCCGGCACAATTAGAGAAGACAGCAGCAGGAGTGCAAGGCCAGAAAAGGACAGAGGACTGCCCCACGGAGCATCACACTCCGGCAGCCCTCCACCAAGCCCCCCTCACGACACCAACGAGCCGGATGGGGAGGGGGCATGTCTGGGGAAACTCTGGCGTGGAATAACTCTTGGTTACCACTTTAGTATATTACATACCCACCAGACAAGGGTTACGCGAATACAAATCCCTTATTACCATACATACTACTATAACTGTACCAACCCAACGGGAGCGTGAGAGGTACACGTTGTTGATTTAAGGAACTGTTGGGGGAGGGTGTTGTTGTTAAGACTGCTCGCTTCTCTTCTCCCGACTCCTGTCCCATTTTCTTTGATGTCTGCCGTGTTGTAGTATTCATTTCTAGTATTGTTCAATACTATTCATTTTTGTCCTATGGTTAATTTTTATTACTCAATACGGAATACTTGCCAAAAAGTAACATATTACATATCAGAAAAATAAGGCAAAATAACACAATGATTAGGAAACTAAATGTTATTACCTACCGACACATTTATTGCTACCCACGCCTACTAACTACAGCATGCATCGCTTGTTAACTACAGCATACATGTCTCAACCTCTTATACCCGAAACTATCATACCCATGTTAAAACATTGAGATTGTTGGAGGAAGCAGATAATATGTTCATCAATGTTCCAGTTCAGAAAAATGGATAAGCACCTCCAAAGGATACCTGATCAACCAGGCTGTGACATGTCAGGCTGCGAGCAGCCGCGTCCAACAGCCTGGTTGATCAGTCCAGCAACCAGGAGGCCTGGTCGACGACCGGGCCGCGGGGACGCTAAGCCCCGGAAGCACCTCAAGGTGTCATTTACCATACGGAGCTTCAATACTCAAATATGGAAGACAAACATTTAATACCTTTTACATACATGATCTGTCAATCTTCCCTTCAAACCTGGCAATTGCAACATTTCACATGCCCGCCGCCCCACACCAATGACACTAATCAAGATAATCCAAATTTCTCACTTATAAACTACGTAGGTCATTATCAAGAGGGTACAAAGCCGGGCAGCCTATCCACGCGTCTAAATACAATATAACTTATGAACCGCATACCACCTGCGTTCTTCGATTCTATTAAAAACCCTTATTTGTTTAAATTGTGAATACCATATAAATGCTTTTCCACATTTCTTTCATTTCCAAACCATTATTTATCAAACGAAGCCACCAAACCGGCAACGCTATGTACCACCAGCAAATGTGCGGGATATTCAGGGCCCACTAAATGTCACAAAGGACACCAATACTATAACACACACGCATCACCAGAACGATATCACAACTATCGGAGTCACCAACAACATTATCTAGACAAGCGTCCGCGGGGGACGGTCGGAAAACAACACACGTTCCTCCCGCTAATCACAACAATCAAAAAGCATATGCAATTAGGACAATAAGGGGCCGCCGCTCCATCAAGTGTCCATGGGTTAAGCGAGTATGACTAACCCGCACCAAAGCAGTTTCCCCTCCGAGCCTGTTACGGTGGCAGGAGGAAGGCCACGGGGACACACTACGTTTGAGAGTACGCAGCTTGTTACCAAGCACAGAGGACCAACAACCCTCCCAACGGGCATGAATGGATAAAAGTCGGAATCAGGGATACCTTTAAGGGAGATGGGACAAGAACGGGTAGCGCCCTTAGCGGCAGCATCAGCACGCTCATTGAAAGAAACACCAATATGGCTGCGAACCAAGCAAAACTTATTTGTAGTAAATTTCAATCAGAACCAGCCAATGTTTAATCTCGACAACCACCCGATGGACATCCTTAAACGACCCTAGAGCCATCAGGACACTACGACAGTCAACTACGACCACAAAGGAGGAATGAGAAAGCCATAGACGGAGACCATAGACAATAGCATAAAGTTCTGCCGTAAAGACGCTAGCTACCCTCTGAAGGGAGGCGACACATAACTACGGTCAGGAAAAACAACAGTAGCCACCACCGTCCGCAGACTTAGACCCTTCCCTCAAGATGGAAATAGAGTGGGACTGCGAACTAGTAATACAAGTCAAGGACGTACAAAACTTGCCAAGGGGGACTCTCCACGGAGGCAAGGAACGAACAATATGACGAGAAATATTACAAATATCAACAAACAAAATCCTGTAAACGTCAGAAAGTGGGAGGTGGTGAAGAGCAACACGAACCGCATCACGGCTAAAAGTTTAAGCACCACACAGCAACGATCTTCCAAGGATCCTCCAAGATACCGAAGACATTAGCGATCACAGCGGTCCTGGAGAGACAGGAAGCCAGTGTCAACATACAACCTGAGGACGAAGTCACACTAAACCGAACACAACTGAGGCGCAACCCAGTTTGGTCCAAAGCATCACCACGGCGAAGAGTATTACAACAAATAAGCACGGCAACCATAATCGAGCTTAGAACGACAGAGGAATGTAAAGCAACCACAGTCAGGCTATCCCCTCGTCATCTTATCAAACTAACTATCTTTAGATACCACCTTAAATCTAAGCTACGTCACTAATATGTATTAGTGCTGCAACCCATCAAAATTCACATGGACAGCACATTAATACTAACTATAAACACTAATTTTCCAAACTATGTACTATGTATGATAAAGTGCAATTATGGGGCTGTTAATTGTAACTCCTCCATTCATTCTCCTAGTTTCATCTTCACACACGATTCTAAAAACCAAGTTAAATATCCTATATAACTTTGGTATTAATCAATTCATTCTTTTATTTTACACTTTATTTTCTTTTTTCACATAACATGAATACATTTAAAAATGTTTGGTTTTTATTAACTAACATTATAGGTATAGGTTAAGTATGATGACCAGAACACTACAAGGTGAAGGGACGACGACGTTTCGGTCCGTCCTGGACCATTCTCAATCGACTTGAGATTGGTCCAGGACGGACAGAAACGTCGTCGTCGTCCATTCACATTCTAGTGTGTGGTCTGGTCATCATACTTTAGCCACGTTGTGACTCATCCCCTGCAAGGTTTTAGTACATATTACAAACCAATACCATCCTATTCTTCAATAAACATACACTGTTACCTTAAGTCCCTTTTTTCCCCCTTTTCTGGTCAACTCACTTAACAACATTCCAAAGTACGATTTAATAACTGCAAATAACTACAATCCATTGTCATATATATACCATATTTGCACTTATTGCGCACTTACAGTTTTGGAGTACGCCTTTTACTATTGTCCCACACAAAACTGCCTCACCTGTACACACTACTATTTATGCATTACTCCTAACATGATTGTCACTACATCTTTCATAATGACGTCCTTACAACACCACAAATCCATTCGACAACACCAATAAATTCTTATTATATTATATAACCACCCACCGATTACTTTAATTTTAGACACGAGCAAACGAGGTCTTTTACAAAACGACCTAGTAACTAACATTTACTCTACACCTTCCATAACCTTCATTTCACACCTTTTCCAAAACTTCACGCATCCCTTTCACCATCCACACATTTTGGCCCGTCTATCTCTTGCCAACACTGTTTCACGACTTAAGGCCACAAAACACACATTCTTCCCCCTCAATACGAGTATATTATGAACTCGTCTTTAAATGCAACACTCAACACTTTCCACTTCCAGGTAGCAAATGCGATTGTAACACTTATTGATTCACGAACCCCCTTCTCTTTATTGTCCAGTCTTCGTATCTGCCAATCTTAACTCCTTTCAGTTATTCACGGTGTGGGTCGCGTCATCCCTCTCTTCAACACTTAATTTTTCTTGCACTTCACCCTCTGGTTCCGTTGTACGTCAAAGTCCGCTGGCTCCGATTCCCTCTACCAATCAACCTTCTCCATTACCATCATCTCGCAATTCTAAAATACATAAATAGGTCACATTTTCAATTAGCACAGTAACCGGTTTTGAGTATTTATTTACTCTTTTAGAGTAAAATTCAAACTACATTCACGTCCCCTTTACATTCCAATAAAATAATTTCACACATTTTTCCATTATGTATTGTACTCATAAATGATTCAACAATTCTCCCATATTATATTTACATCTATATATTTTCCCATTCATTCACAACATGTACTGCCCTCTATGAGAACAGTAACGACGCTCTTACGCTAGTACCCCCACCCACATTTCTCTTATTTCTACATTATACACAACTTTAATAACTATTCAAAACAAACTGCATATCTAATAACAATCAAACTATATGATCAACGACTCTGTACGACAAAAAACATTTACAACATTTTTAACATTTCGTACCTTGTATGCAAGAGGTCAACTTCATTCAACACTTCCAGGTCTGTCCATAAAGTACCTAACCACGATGTTATCAACGTCAAAGGTACTCAAGCCTCTCACCTGCGAAATTACATTTTATTCAACATTCATATCAACACGACTATTACACCCACACCCTTCGAAACACTACAGGGGGGGGGGGGGGGGGGGGGGAACACCACTATCAACCAATATTAAAGTCGACGCGGGAACTGAGGTCAGACTATCGACAGTTATTCACTAGTCTTCATAAGCAGTTTCCGGAAGCAACACCATCCTGCAGCCAAACAACAAACACCTAACTTAAGTCTAAAAACGCATTGTCTGAGTCATTCAATGGTGTAAGCCTGTTTGGGTTCAGTGGGATTGGGTGGTTATAAATAGGAGCTGCCTCGTATGGGCCAATAGCCCTTCCGCAGTTGCCTTTCTTATGTTTTAAATCAAACGCTCAAAAACTTCATAGTTGAAACAGAACCAATGATCACCATATAGTTTTTTTTATTTAAAGAGTACGACAAACTAGAAATGCTCTACAAATCAAGGGACCCAGAATGTGCAATGACATTCCCAAACATGTTAAAAACTGTAGCTCTCCCAACAGGTTTAACAAAGAAAGCTATACCTATTCAATTCTCTGGAACCTACCTTACCCCACTATTGTCAACCCATGTCTTTTAAACGACGCTGTTTGTCGACCTAATTGTATTTGTGCTACTTTTTCACCCGTGTTCCCCCTTTTTCTCTTGTTATTGTTTACTATGAGAAATTGAGCATAATGAGTTAAATGACTAAAGCTTTAGTTTTTCAGCCCCGAAACGCTTTCCGTAATAGTGCTAGTACATACAATGCTTAAAGGCACTATCTATAAATCCATCATTCTTCGTAAAATCTCTTATGTACCTTACCTAAATTGTGCTTTCATTTAATAAATAAAACATTCTTATGAAACCCATAATATGCCTGTACTAGTGCTCACAAGTCAAACTTATTTAACAACCTCTATGTAAAATTGACACCATCCCCATCCAATTGCATTATGCTCAACCCACACATCTAACACATTCGATTGCATTCATCAAATTTACATTTTCACCTAAATGGGACCAAATACCTTCCTCCACGGCTTACCGTCACGTACATTTACTTACCGGGACCTCTAATGGGTGACGCTTCAATATACACCACGGCGTTACACGTCAGAACTGATTCGGTATAATTGCCTTACTGGCCACGTTATGAACTAAACATTTGACGTCCTTACATTATGAACCTTTCGCAGTCTTTACATGCTCTTAATATGCCTACTCATCAGGTCTATTATATTTACACTTTACTACTAACATTACTTCCTACTGTGTTATTGCAGCCACTTTAATTAAACTTCTCCCTCCAAAATTGAACTTCAATTATTTACTCATCATCGTTGTCAAACGTGCGAAATGCCTATATCACAAAAACTAGCGCCAACACTGACTATTTTCATTTCAACTTAATTTTTTCAAAACCTAAACAATTACTGCAAAACTAGCTTCCTGTCACATACAACTTGCACAACATTGAAGGTGTTTTATCATAACTACTCTTCGCCGCCTCAAAGTGAGATTGAAACCCACACTAAATTAACCATCACCTTTAGTCTGTAGTAAGGGTGCGCGAACCTAAAACCTATCCCCACGAAAATTATACAGAAGCCTATTCATACACTTAACGTCACTATTGGTGAATACTTGGCAGTGACGCGTATCGCTGTGTTCTTCCACACATCCTGCCAATCTGTCCCGGTATTACCTGCAACAAGGCAACAGTTACCCGATGCTACCAATATAAATGGTTATTTCATGCCTATACCTTTAAGTGCAACCTCTAGTTTACTGAAACATTACTAATGTAGTGGCTCATTTAAAATTGATATTGTTAACCCATACATCACACATGGATAGTCTACGGGTTTGGGAGCTGTTATCTGTGGGTTACCACCCTCTGAGCAGCTAATACTACTAACCACTTTAGTCGATTACATATGTAGTCCAGTTTTACATTTAAAGCCTTAGGGGTTCTTTTATAAAGATTTAAGGGGTTACTACCGTATCCTAACAAAATATTACCAAACCTCTAACTAAACTAGGTAATACACAACTAGCATATCTACCTCAACCAGGACATCTGCCACCAGCTTCTGCTCGCCACGGTCTGACTTGAATCATCGCTCCACCACAGATTCCTACCTCGCCAATCGGGTCTTTTCACGCGATGCGTCATCGTCACTCCATTACCTCGTTGACTAACAATACCGCTGAAAACAATGAATACATTAATAAAATAATATCACCGTGTATATATATCCCACAAGAGGATAAGGCACTTGTAATAAATATATATTTTTGACCCTATGTATTCGCTTTTTGACGGTGTACAGAAGTGAGTGTAAGCTAGGGGTATGTCAGCCCTAGCGACCCCAAAGGGTAACGGGGTACCAGCTCAGAGTAACAACACGCCCTAACACTAACTTGTACACCTCTACTACGCGAGTACTAGGGTCAAAATAACGTTCCGTTGCTCCTCGCCGACCACGTCGACTCAACAGCCAATCACCTTTCTCATTTTCACTTGACGTCACATTCTCGCAAGCTGTACTCTCATTGGTCGGCTCAACCTAATTCGATACTCTACTAATTAATGATAATTATTTCTTGAAACTGAAATATATACACAAAAATGTATACCCAATGTATGAAAAACATACATGTACCAAATGTATGAGAAACAATGTTTTACATTACACTCAAATTATAACTTTTCATTACTTATTATTAAATAATTATTATTATAAGGATTAAATAATAAGAATACTTATTCAAACTGTAAGTACACTATACTACAGTACACTTCCGTACGCTACGATACATTACAGTACTATACAATACAGTACAGTACAGTACCGTACAGTACCGTAACTTCGTTAATTGCATTTCAATTGTACCAACGGCAGCAACATTATAATTTTTTCGACTTAAATCACTGTTTCGTGATTGTAACAACGCGTAATAACAAATTTCACGTTAGATGGGGAGGGAGCTTCTCTATTTGGCCATCTGGGACTCTATATTCGTCACATGCTTAAGTCTACCATTGAGTCAGTATAAACATTAGGTGGATATCATACAGCAGCAGTTCATTGTTATCGCAATATTATCTTTCCAACCCTTCATTTCCCTACCTAAACACACCAATGTATATTTATATACGTCATTTAAGCCATAGATGCACACTCCAACTAGTAATAACGATTAGATTTAACATGCAATCAAATAGTCTTTTACATATTTAGGCAAAGTCATCACTCATTTTGAATAATAAAGATCCTGTGCGTTACACTTTGATCATTTCAACTCTCGTGAGTCGTTTTGTAGACAATGACGTTATCTTATGCTATGTTAAGCTAAGCTAACCAAGCTAGGCTACACTGGACTAGGCTACGGTAAGCTACGTAAGCTTAGATACAATACCATAAAGTACAGGCTACAGTGCAGGGTACAATACACTACAGTGCAGTGCAGTACAGAACCGTTCAGTAGAGTACAATACACCATGGGATAGTGCCTTACATTACAGTACACTGCAATAGAGGGTACAGTACAGGATACAATACATTACATTTCAGTACAGGGTGCAGTACAAAACACTATTCTACTATATAGTACAGTACTATATACTACAGAACAGTACACCATAGTACATACTATATACTACAGTATAGATACGCACTGTACAGTATAGTTAAATACAGTATAGGACTGTGCAATAAATTACAGTGCAGTAGAGGGTACAGTACAGGTTACAATACAGTACATTTTAGTACAGGGTATAGCACATTACAGTACAGTAAACTAGAGCAGAGTAGTGGGGGAGTTTGGGGAGAGGGGGGGAGTTTGGGGAGAGTGGGGGAGTATGGGGATAGTGGGGGAGGATAGGCCAATATGGGGGAGGATAGGGCAATATGGGGGAGAGTGGGGGAGGATAGGGCAATATGGGGGAGAGTGGGGGGGGGGGATTTACAGATTTACGAGACCTGCGCGCTATCCACCAGCCTATCAGGCCCCCCGTGCAGGGGGGCCTGACAGTACCGTACCGTACGGAAGTGTACATGTTGGGTAACATTATGTGGGGGGGTACAGAGTACATGTGGGGGTACAGAGTACAGTATAGAAGTACAAACAACATTACACTTGACCCAGACACTTTCTTTATGAATGACATTCAAGCTCAACATAGTATAACTTATATTAACACGAACTCGGAACACTTTAAAAGAGAAATAAACAATATGCCCATGCACTCAGCTCCTGGGCCTGACTCATGGAATTCTATATTCATAAACAAATGTAAAGTACCAGTACCGCGAGCAATCGCCCTAATATTGAGAACAATCCTAGATACAGGCGTGATACCAGCAGCACTTAAATCTCCAGATATACCTCCTTTGCACAAGGGGGTGAGTAATGCCTTCCCAAACAATTATAGGCCAGTTGCACTAACATCACACATAACACTTTTTGAAAGATTGATTAGGAATCAAATTCCTAGTTTTATGGAAAATAATGAGTTACATAACCCAGGACAACATGGATTTAGAGCGGGAACATCCTGTCTGTCACAATTAATCAACCACTATGACAAAACCACAGAAGCTCTAGATCAGGGGTCTCCAAACTTTTCAATGTAAGGGCCACATTATATATTTCCCATATTTATGCGGGCCGGAGGTTACCTTACCTTGAGGTTACCTTGAGGCGCTTCCGGGGCTTAGCGTCCCCGCGGCCCGGTCGTCGACCAGGCCTCCTGGTTGCCGGACTGATCAACCAGGCTGTTGGACGCGGCTGCTCGCAGCCTGACGTACGAGTCACAGCCTGGTTGATCAGGTATCCTTTGGAGGTGCTTATCCAGTTCTCTCTTGAACACTGTGAGGGGTCGGTCAGTTATGTCCCTTATGTGTAGTGGAAGCGTGTTGAACAGTCTCGGGCCTCTGATGTTGATAGAGTTCTCTCTCAGAGTACTAGTTGCACCTCTGTTTTTCAACGGGGGTATTCTGCACATCCTGCCATGTCTTCTGGTCTCATGTGATGTTATTTCTGTGTGCAGGTTTGGGACCAGCCCCTCTAATATTTTCCACGTGTAAATTATTATGTATCTCTCCCGCCTGCGCTCAAGGGAGTACAGTTTTAGGCTCTTTAGTCGGTCCCAATAGTTTAGATGTTTTACTGAGTGGATTCTAGCAGTAAAGGATCTCTGCACGCTCTCCAGTTCAGTAATTTCTCCAGCTTTGAAAGGTGCTGTCATTGTGCAGCAGTACTCCACTCTAGAGAGCACAAGCGTTTTGAAAAGTATCATCATCGGTATAGCATCTCTAGTGTGAAAAGTTCTTGTTATCCAACCTGTCATTTTTCTTGCAGTTGTGACGGCTACTTTATTGTGTTCTTTAAAGGTAAGGTCTTCCGACATGAGTACACCCAGATCCTTTACATTGCCTTTTCGTTCTATGTTATGATTTGCCTGAGTTTTGTACGTGGTTTCCGTTTTTATATTTTCATTTTTTCCATAGCGCATGAGCTAGAACTTATCTTCGTTAAACACCATATTATTTTCTGTAGCCCATAGAAAGACCTGATCTACATCTGACTGGAGGTTCGCCGTGTCCTCTATGTTGCCTACTCTCATGAAGATCCTAGTGTCATCTGCAAAGGATGATACAGTGCTATAGGTTGTGTTCTTGTCTATGTCCGAAATGAGGATGAGAAAAAGTACTGGAGCAAGCACAGTACCCTGGGGGACTGAGCTCTTCACGGTTGATGGGCTGGATTTTATTTTGTTGACTATTACACATTGGGTTCTGTTGGTCAGGAAATTGTAGATCCATCTGCCTATTTTTCCGGTAATTCCTTTTGAACGCATTTTATGTGCAATAACACCATGGTCACATTTATCAAAAGCTTTTGCGAAATCTGTGTAAATTACATCCGCGTTATGTTTGTCTTCCATAGCATCTAATGCCATATCATAGTGGTCCAGCAACTGCGACAGGCAAGAGCGCCCTGTTCTGAAACCATGTTGTCCGGGGTTATGGAGTTGCTGTGATTCCATGTATTTTGTGATTTTACTTCTTAGCACTCTCTCAAAAATTTTTATGATGTGCGATGTTAGCGCTATCGGTCTGTAATTTTTTGCCTCTGCCTTATTTCCTCCTTTATGAAGTGGTGCTATCTCTGCTGTTTTTAGTATATCAGGAATAACGCCAGTATCTAGGCTTTGTCTCCACAGAATGTGGAGGGCCTGCGATAGTGGTTTTTTACAGTTCTTTATGAATATGGAGTTCCAAGAATCCGGGCCTGGTGCAGAGTGCATAGGCATACTGTTTATGGCTTCTTCAAAATCCAGTGGGGATAGGGTGACGTCTGATATATGATTTGATGTTGGTATCGTATCCATGAAAAATTCATTTGGGTTATCAATCTTTAGTGTGTTTAATGGCTCGCTGAAAACAGAGTCGTACTGCGTCCTCAGTAGCTCGCTCATTTCTTTGTTGTCATCGGTGAAAGTTCCATCTCCCTTTCGCAGGGGCCCGATACTAGATGTGGTTTTTGATCTTGATTTTGCATAGGAGAAAAAATATTTCGGATTTCTTTCTATTTCACTGATGGCCTTTTCCTCTCTTTGCCTCTCCTGGGTTTTGTATGATTCTTGTAGCTTCCGTTCAATTGTTTCTATTTCTCTACCTAACCTTCTTCGCCGTTCTTGAGATAGGGTGCGACTCTCAAGTTGTTCCGCGATTCGTTTTCTTCGCCTATATATAGGGAACGACGTTCCCGTTCCAATCTGCATCTCTTCCTCTTTTTTCTTAGAGGTATGCGGTTTGAACATATTTCTAGTGCTACTGAGCTTATTTTTTCCAGGCACTGGTTCAGGTTTGCATTTTCTAGCTGTTCTTCCCAGTTTATTTCTGTGAAGTCCTGGTTTATTTGCTCCCAGTTTATCTGTTTATTATTGAAGTTGAATTTGCTGAAATCTCCTCCACCGTGAATCTGGACTGGTTTTGAAGGTCTACTCCCCATGGTTGTCATAACTTCAATTAAGTTGTGATCTGAGTAACAGGAATAAAAATAATGAAAAAAAACAAAAAACAAATCAGTGCCAGTAATTTAATTTCCTCAAATATTAAAGTATAAACATGGAAAAATTAAAATATATCTTTTTGGAAAAAATCAGGGTAAACTAAATAGATTCCTGCCTTTAGTTTTATGCAACCAAATTAGTGTGACGAATGATACTGTCGTTTTGACTTCAAAATTTCATTAAAATCAGGTTCCAGATTAGATGAGCCAATTATAAGAATTGATTTCAAGTGATCATCAGACAAATTTGCTCGATAGTTAGATTTCACATACTTCATTTTGGAAAAAGTTTGTTCACACAAGTATGTTGAACCAAAAATGGACACAAAACTACAAGCAAACTTTATCAAATTTGGAAACTGATCTGGCTGCAGGCATTTATAAAACT